AGCGCCACCCCCCGTCTGGGGACCCGCGCGGGGTCCACGGGGCGGGGCCAGTCTCCTAGCCGCCCCTCGATCCACTCCTGGCCTGGCGTCTGCTCCCAGGGTCGACCTCCCAGCTAGCTACAGGCGGATCAGGATCCCCGTGTGGCCAACGTTCCCTTCCTTCTTGGCTGACACTCGGAGGGGGCCAAACGCTCGGCCGAATTTTCTAGGGGAAACCTTCACTTTTTACTCCCTCACATATTGAGCCTCACAATGCCCGAGCAGGGAGCAGGGGTCCTAGCGTTCCATCAGCGTCTCGTCTACCTTTCGAGCTCTGAAGGGGCAGGGTCCTTTCATTCCAAACCTCGACACACCCCCTGTGTGAACGCCCGGAGTTTTCCAACTCACTGACGTATGCACACTGCACCCAGGACTCATCAACTCAAAGAGGGCGATATAAGGGGTTAAGCGGATACCAGAGGAGTGGACGGAGGGGACGGGGGCAGTCGCAAGGAGGCTCAGCCGGGGCACTGACCGGAGGTGGAGGGTTGGAAATGCCTGGACAGGCTGGCAGTGCACGTGTTGGGTGGAGGGCCCACTGAGCGCACTCCCCTGCCTAGGGTGGAGTGGCCCTTTCTTGTATCGCATCAGGTCAGCACGTGCTTCTATGTCTCACAGTTCTGTGCTAAAACTGACCCCACCCAGCAGAGGCCCCATTCCACCTCCTACCTGGCCCTCTTCTACCTGGACTACACCTTTGCCTCAGGGGAGCCCTCCATGAGGAAAGGACAAAGGACACGCTGGTGACCGGAGTGTCTACGTGTTTTGAGTGCCATTCTCTACTACCTCATGGCCGCCATGCAGCATGGTGGCATACCTGTGACCAGCACGGAGTCCTGTGCCTGACTCTGGACAACCCAGATTCTCTTCAGGCCACAGTCCCTCTCTGTAGAATCCAGACGAAGGGAACAGTGGTCCTGGGGAGCCAAAACTGGGCCAGAATTTACAGCTCTATGGAACCAAGGGCGCACATCAGGGCTCCTTCCAGCAAGGCCAGGTGAGAGAAGGGGTCAGGTGCGGGGGTGTGGAGGGGAGGCGTCTCGTGGGATCCTGGCATCAAGCTGGGGTAACTCAGGTAGCTGTGGCCCGAAAAAGGAATGAGCCCACCCTTTCCGGGAGGGCTCTGCTCACTTACCCACCCACTCCGCCCACGCGCAAGGCCACCTACGGCCCCACCCTTCGCCCAAGGTCCCGCCCCGTGAAATGAAGCCACGCCCCGTGGTAGAATAAGCCTTCCCGCCGCACCTCCCCCCCGCCCCCCTCCCAGCCACTTTTCTGAGCGGAGCGGAGCAAGCCAAGGATCCATCCAAACCGGGTCTTTTGGGAAACCCTGGAGCGCGAAGGCTTCTGGGGAATTAAGTTTCCACTGGGCACCTCGGCCGGATTTACGCATGCTCGCGGCTAGGGGCGGAGCCTACAGGGGCAGTGGGCAAGGTTAAGGGTTCTTCCGTTTTCCACCTCTTAAGCATGTTTCCCCCAGACCCATTTGCTTCTACTTGCTAGGTTGCTCAACCTGCCTAACTGGCTCTAAGCAGGCTACTCAGTCACCCTGGCTTGCAGTCCCTGTCCTGCTTGGTCTCTCCTTCCTGGGGTTTTCCGGAATGGAGTCCAAGACGTCCCACTGTAGTGTAGACCCAGAGGAGCCCACTGGTTGGCCCGTAAACTTGCAACTGTTGTTTCCCCCCCCTCGCCCCCCTCGCCCCACGGTCGTTCTTCATGTCCCCTATGGGCGAGGAGGTGAAGCTACTAAAGCAGAGGGGTGCCAGGGCCAAGAATGGGTGCGGGGGACAGAAAACTTTGGGGAGCTTCACCCCAAGTCACCAACACAGGGAAACTGCAGGTTTAGAAACAAGCTGAAAATGTCACTTGTGTCTGATGCCCATGTAACTGTAAGATAAGTAAAGTGTATCTACAAAGTTGTGTCAAACTTTTTTTTAATTAGGAATGTGGACAATCCTGTAAGTAGTCTCAAGCATCCCAGTGTCTGCTGGGTATGGGCAGTAGGTGGCAAGGAGGAACTCTGGACAGTAGCTGTAGAGGTGTGAGCAATGGCTGGGTGACCCCAGCCCCTCTGAAGGCCCCAGAATCTGAAGGCCTGCCTCCACTTCCTCTCTGGGGCCATGACCCAAGGAGGTAAAGCATGCTCGGATGAATCGTGATTGAGTCACCCCAGATTGGCAAATGCCCCTTAGAGCTCAAACCTTGGCCTCCACCCATCTGGGAATGAGGGGTGACTGGCTGCTGTGCTCCAGTTGCTAAGGCCTCTGGGGATCTTGAGAACCCCATCTTTGAGCTCCGCCCCAAGGCCCCACCCCTCTCTAGGAGGGAAAAGGCACCTGCTGGTAGCTCTACTCACAGGCACTGGGACCTGGAGCTGGAGGACTAGAAGTTAGCTGCTGCTGCTGCTGCTGCTGCTGCTGCTGCTGCTGCTGCTGCTGCTGCTGCTGCTGCTGCTGCTGGCTGCAGGTGAGTGACCCAATGCCCCAGTGACTGACCTGACTGAGAGGTACCTTCCCAACAGCCCCTGCTCTCCCTTGGACCACCTCACCTGTGTTCCCTAGCCTTTTATCCCCATTCCCAGCTGCATCCAGGAGCATTTCGTGGATACTTGGTGGATGGTGGCAACTGGGTACTCGGGTCTACCTCCAAGACATGTAGACCTTGCATATATTCTGATGTCTCCACATCTGCACGCAGTGATATGGCTCTTTACAAGGCAGACTCCTCCTAAATGGGTGTCTTCTTGGGCTACAGGCTCTCAAGCAGCTTTCCTCTCCTCTGAGTCCATACATGTGTCTCTGCTCACCCCTGCAGCTTGGGCCATGGACCCCCATGAGATGGTTGTGAAGAACCCATACGCTCACATCAGCATCCCGCGGGCTCACCTGCGGTCTGACCTGGGGCAGCAGTTAGAGGAGGGTCCCTCTTCATCTTCCGCCTCTGAGAGTCAGCCTCTGCCTTCAGGAACCTGTGCCCCAGAGCCAGCAGGCCTCTTGCAGACTCCTGAAGCTCCAGGGCCCAAGGGTATCAAGGGTACCAAAGGCACCGCTCCTGAGCAGAACCAACAGACCTGGCAGTCACCCTGCAATCCCTACTGCAGTGGGCAGCGTCCATCAGGACTGACCTACGCTGGCCTGCCGCCTGTGGGGCGTGGCGACGACATTGCCCACCACTGCTGCTGCTTGCCTTGCTGTTCCTGCTGCCACTGTCCACGATTCTGCCGTTGTCACAGCTGTTGCTGTGTTGTCTCTTAGCCTGACTATCCAACCTCGGGGCGGTGGGGCCCAGGCCTCTGCTCAACACCCAAGTGGTGCTGGACATCAGGAGCGGCCATGGGCATGGGCATCAGCCACTTCTGGACAGGGGAGCCTGTCCACCAGGAAGGCTCAGCGGGTGTCCCAGCCACTAGCCATGGTGGCAGCAATAGGGACACCCTTCACTTCCTGCGAGACTTTGGCAATAAAGCAGGGTGAGCAGTGTGCCGATGACTCCTTTTTTTTTTTTTTTTTAACCAGGGTTCCATTTGGGAGAGGGTCCTAGTCTGGGCAACTATTTTTGTCCTCAACATACACAAATACAGTCTCCCTAGTAGGCTCCCAGACTCTGTGGGTCCTTCCAGAGACTAGAAAGCCACTGCCTCATGACCACCATAATTTAGGGGCCTTGCGGGTCTCAGCCCACCCAGGGGCTTGTAGGTGGTAATATGTCTCCTGCCCAGGGCCAGTTCTCTGTTCTCCCTAAGGCTAAAGCTGAGATCGTAAACAAGGTTAACCCTGAATCACAAGGCAGGAGGGTACCATACTTGCCACTGTGGGGGGCCCCAAGAAAATACTCTGAGGGAGGATCAGACTGGAGGGCTGTTGGCGGGTGGGGCTGGTGTTAGCAGGTTTCAGGGAGTGGGAGCTCAGGATCCAGGGCCCAGAACCCAGCCCTGCCCAATGTGAGTCACCTCCAAGCCTCAGCCAGAGCATGTTTCTGGTTTCCCACAAAAGATAATTCCTACAATCCAGAGCTCTGCTGTTTAACCTATTTCGAGTGATGTGTACCAGGCCTTGAAGGGCTGAGGGGAGTGTTCCCTTCTTGTCTGTCCAAGCAGTTGTAAGATGCCTGCTGGGGGCCGTGCATGAGATGCCAGGGTAGGGAGTGTGGGAGGAGGGTCAGCTCTGGGCAGCCAGGTGTTTCCGGGGCAGGGCAGAGCCACCACGGCACCACGTGAAGAGGGCGGAAGAGCTGGCCTCACAAGACAAACGAGTCCTCCTGAAGTTGGCCCTCCCCTGATGCAGAGACGGGTCATATACGCGGGCAGGCTAGATGTGTAGTGTGGAGAAGTCTCCAGGTATGGGCAGATGGGTCATGGCCCTGACTCTCATCTCCAAGCTCCTTGTCCCCCGTTTCAGTGGGGGCCAGCACAGGAACCCGTTTGGCCAGTCTTAAAGGCACACTGCCAAGCAGGTGGGTAAAAGTGAGTCAGGAGGGCTTGCTCCTTGGCTTTCTCCTAGCAACCCTGTGTGCGGTCCTGGGGGCCTGCCAGCCTCTCCCAACACAACCCAGTCTCCCTAGTTCTGTGCTCTCTCCAGGCCTCATCACAGGGAAAACTGATCCCACCTCCCTGAACTGTCTCCCTGGACTATTACAAAGACTGAGGGTCAGCTAGGCAGTCAACTGGAAGGTGCTTAGGATGGGCACGGGGCGGGGTGGGGTGGGGAGGGGGAGCTTCTGGGATGATGGTTGGTTGTGTGAGGGAGATGGGCACACATTGTGCCACCTCAGGGCCGACGGGTGGGCTACTGCCTGTGACATTACAGGATAGACCTAGTCTAGATAGGGAGGAAGGTCATCCTGAGAAGTACCACAATTTAACAAGATGATGCACCCTACCATGGAGCTGGTAGGGGGTGGGGGCAGGTCCCCTGGGAGGTGGCGTGGGCGGGGCCTGAAGAGTGGGCGTCCCTCAGGCCAAAGCAGGAAAGCATGACAATCAGATGAGAGGGGTGAGGGCTTGATGGTATGAGAGAGCGGGGAGGTACAAAAGGCTGAGGACTGCTAGGGTGGAGAAGACGAAGCCGGGTCTCCAGGAGTTACGGGGTGGGGGGGGGAGTGGTCTGAGCAGCATCCGTTCTGCAGGGGGCTGGCTCACCTTATCTCCAGCCCAGTGGGTGGTGCCTCAGATCCTGTTGCAGGCGCTTTGTGGCTGAAAGGGGAGCCCCACTCTCATTTGATGCCGCCACCACCTGCCTCCTGCCGCCCTGCCCGTGTGGTCAGTAATGCGAGCCCAAGGAGGGAGCCATGAGGTGGCCCGGGTCCCCACCCCCTTCTCCCGAAACCCTCTAGCTGGGAATATCTTTCTGGTGGAGTGGATGCAGCAGGTAAGAGAAGCCTGGGGTTCAGGAAGGCTAGGGGTGGGGGGCAAGCAGGAGGGGCCGTGGAAGGGTCTCTACAGGGGGATAGGGCGCTGTTTCAGCCAGTGGCCACAGAGACAAGAGATGTGCCCAGACTTGGTGTGCCCAAGGCCACCATCTTCCCGCCAGGTGTGCAGACACTTACCGTCCGTCTGTCCCATAGCCCTGTCTTCTGTCTTCTGGGGGACAGCATGGACCAAACACATCCCATAGATGGGCAGAGGTGGACCGTGCCTTGTGCTCTTGCCCTGTTGGTTCCTTCACACTTTCCCTAGGATGCTGCAGCCTGAAGGCCCCGAAGCCTTGGAGGAAGGGGCAGCCCTGACAGCCCCACGGAATGACTGCGTCATCTGCTACTCTGCCTATGACCTGTCAGTACACTTGCCTCGCCGCCTCTACTGTGGCCACACCTTCTGCCAAGCATGCATGCGGCGGCTGGACACCCCAGCCCATGAACAACACTGGATCCCCTGCCCACAGTGCCGTCAAAGTACCCCTATGCCCCGAGGAGGGGTGACCATGTTGGACCTGGACCTAGCTGCCTTTTTGGCAGTCAAAGCTGAACGGGAACCATCAAGAATAGAACCCAGGTCCTCTGTCCCCCTCAAAGTCAGCGCTACCATCACTCAGCAGCCAGCCGAACTCTACCCCACCTTGCGCCCCCAACCCCACTTTCCTCAGCCTGGATGCTGTTGCTGTGGCTGGGGAAGACTGTGCTGGTATCCCCCCGGGAACGCTGAGGTCTAAATTCTGGCTATCTCCACCTGCACAAAGGAAACTGTGCTAGCAGCTTGCCTGCCTTGGAGCCACTGATCATACACAGTGCAAACAGAACAGTTTGCTAGCAGGGCATCCTTCTTACAGTCCTGCGTGACCCAGCATAGTGGTATCACCCTGACCAGGGACATCTCAGGCTATAGCCTAAGGTCAGAGTCAATGGCCATAATGCCACAGTAGGCTGGTGACTTCCCATTATACTTGTCTAGATTCCCATACCCCAAACTGGCCTGACTTTGTTTGGCCAGCCAACATTCTGCTGTCTACGTCACCTGTAAACCCAGGACTTAGCATAGAGAATGGTTCCTAAGAGTCTGTGGGGCTGAGTGCGGGGGCCTGGACAGGGTCAGGCTATGGCTGTACGAGAGTGGCTGGCCTCAGAGCAGGTCTTCCTCTCTGTAAGCATCCAGAGGTATGAGCCAGGAGGCAGGCTACCTCCTGGAGTCTTATGTATTCATCTATTCCACAGTGGTCACTGAACTCCTACCATGAGCCAGACACTGTTCCGAGAGAGTCTGCTGCAACATAAAGCTACCTCTTTGACAGGCATCAAAGGGTGCCATAGAGAGCCAGCTCCGACAAGGGTCTCGCCTGAGGTCTCACAGCTCATTATCCTAATTCAAGGCTCCCAGCCTCCTTCCACCTCTGGTGACCCTAACACAGACCTTCTGTAGGTGCTCTAGGTTACAAATTACTGACAATCCCCAGGCCAAAGCTGCAAACCTCCATCCCTCTAGGAAGGAGCTGTATTCAGGAGCCCCTGGGAGGGGCCTCCTGGGGAGTGGTTGTAGGATGGGGAGGAAAGAGAATTTGCTGAATAGACATTGGGAAGACTCCTTCACTGGGCAAAGTCCCTCAAGCACCCAGGGACAGAGCTGGGCAGTGAGCAGAGCAGGGTGCTGGAGCTTGCAGGGCCCCTAGGGAAATAGCTTGCAGGGGAGGGCCTAGTCCCCATCCCAGGGGCTGGAAGGGAGCTGACCCATCAGAGAGCACATTTCACAGACACGTGGGCACAGACAGCCCTCATCTGGGAAAAGACACTCAGATAGGGTTCAGGCAATGAGCACTGTGGGATGGGGAAGGGCTCGGCCCTCCCCCCTCCCTCTGCAGATAGAGACTCTGAGTCCTGGTCTGCCTCCACAGAAAGCCCTTCAGGATCTAGCCCTACCCTTAAACTCAGATTTGAATCTGCTGACCCGAGAGCCTGGGTATCTTCCCAGGCCACCTGAGGAAATTCGTCTTCCACACCCACCTGGTGCAAAGGGCTTCTCTCTCATCTCTGTCAGGTGCATGGATGAGCACGATAAGGTTTGCAGAGTTCAGAGGAACACAGGAAGAGGAGGGCAACGTTCTCCTGGGGTCCCTAGGCTGCCCCAGCCAGAATGAGAGCGTCTCGCCTGGGTGGTGTAGAGTGTCCATTAAATGTATCTGGTGCCTACTGGTGGCTTCAGTGTCTACCTCTGTTATGCTCCTGGCCAGATGTTGCCCATCCCTAGAAGAAGTTCCACCCCAAGAGATTTGAGCTGGGGGCTCAGAACTCCTAGCCCCAGGGTGACAAGGGCCTGAATAAGGCCTCGAGGCCAGGCAGGGTCTCCCCTTGGGGGCCCCAGCTCCTGGGTAAACATTAATGGGGCTCCACACACAGCAGGTCATGTGCGCACTGGGCAGATCTTTGACCTGAAGCTAGTCCTGCTGTGCCTCCTCCCTGCTGGTGCCCCCTCACCACACGTGCAGGTAGGAGCTCCCAGAACTTAGAGCAAGCTAAGGGACACTGGACCAGAGCGGAGTGACCACCAGGTCCAGGGGAGGGGCACCACTCTGAACCCCAGGACCTAAGAGCAAGTGAGAAGAGAGCCTAATGGCAGGCCAGAGGGAAGGGACACAAAGGGCCCCTGGGCCTGAGCCCAAGCACTGGGGAAGGGGTCAGGGTAGACTAGGATTCAAAGAGTTCCAGACCCCGAGGCCCACGGGGTCAGTGCTGCCAGAAGGGACCTGATGTAGGCAGGGGGCTCCCAAGTCCTGCTTCTAAGTTGGGGGTGGGGTGGGGTGGGGCTCTTATCAAGCGAAGACGTCACTTGTTTGGTATCAAATACCAAAGTCTAAGCTGGGACCATCTGCGGTGTCCTCATTGACACTTGATAGGAGAAATCCCAGGGTTCTCTAGCAACCGGCGACTTCCAGCCAGCGCCCCAGAACCCTGTACCCTCAGTCAGCTGTCAAACCTTCCTCTAGCCAAGACCAGTAAGGGAGTGGAGATCCAGTGGCCCCCCGTCTTCTGCCCCCTGAAACTAGACTGGGCTCGCCTGACAACCACCTGAGGTCACTGCAGCCATCTGTCCGTGGCCAGAGCCACCAAGACCTGCAAGGTGTGGGGCTACGGCTGAAGTCCAGGTCATGGGCCTGACTTTGGACGGGTTGGTGGGGTAGAGGCCGAGTAGGAAGAACGACCGACCCTTACCTGCCTTGCCCTCAGCAGATCTAGGATTGGGCCTGGGTCTCTCTCTGCTTGAAATCCATGCCGAATTCCCTCGCTGGTGGCCAGTTCCCCAACCCTACCCTGGATGCGATTGACCTGGTGGACCGGAATCTGAGAGATGCAGGTATCAGGCACCCTAGGGCTCCTACTTCTGGACAGCTACGCTAGGCAAAACGAGGTTTCTCTCTCTAGCTGCCCTCTTGAAGAGTTCTGGGGTCTCCTCACACCGCTGGCCTGAGCCAGACTCACCCTAGCCCTTTCCCTTCCTGCTTCTGCGCCTCACCCATAGCCCCTTGTGCCCCAGCCTCTTCCACCTCTGGCTTCCTTTTGTCCCTCTCCCTGGGAGTTCGACAAACAGCCCTCCTTGACTTGACCCCTGCAGGGACCTCCAGTTCTATCCCAGGCTCGGAGGAGGGAGGCACAGACCCCCAGGCCTTCTCTCAGCTGAAGAACACTGGCCAACTGAAAGGTAGGTCTGGGTGCGATGAGACAGTGTGCAGGCCCCTGGCTTCCCATTTCTTAGCAGAGTATAAGCTGGGACTTAGAGCACATCTCAAAGAAATTCACATTCATCTGCTTGAGACGGAGTGGAAACTCCCTTTCCAGCCTCTTCTTTTCCTTTTACTCCCTGCTGATGGCTCCAGTTCTGGGACTCCCCCTCCAAGGTCATGGGTTTAGCTGTATGGCCAAGGATCAAGGGAGGGCCAGTGAGGGGGTGCAGACTCTGCTCTGGGGAACACAAAAGGAGTCCATGGATTCCTACCCAATGGGACAGAAGGGAGATCCTGTGCTACTCATGAGAGGTGACAGGAAACACACTCCCTGTTTTCAAGGAGCAAAGTGTGTGTGTGTGTGTGTGTGTGTGTGTGTGTGTGTGTATGTGTGTGTGTGGTGCTACTGCTGGGCAGTAGCCAGCTGGTCAAATATAGTCCTACCTGGTGTCCCTAGAGGTCAGCATGGCCAGCAGGCTTCGCCAAGTGGTCATCAACTTCCTTAAGGCATGTGGACTCCTGGGAAGCCTCTACTTCTTCATCTGCTCCCTGGACATCCTCAGCTCTGCCTTCCAGCTGCTAGGCAGTGAGTGACCAGGTGGGAGGCCAGGGTGGGGTGGGGAAGTGAGCTCTCTACAGCCTCGCTGCATCTCTCTGTGGGCAACAGGCAAAATGGCTGGAGACATTTTCAAGGACAATGTGGTGCTGTCCAACCCTGTGGCTGGCTTGGTCATTGGTGTGCTGGTCACAGTCCTTGTCCAGAGCTCCAGCACATCTTCCTCTATCGTGGTCAGCATGGTGGCCTCTAAGTGTGAGTGCGCCTCTCCTTCCCAGGGCAGTGGTGGGTGGGTTGGTGAACAGGCAGGGCTGCTGAAATGGCACCCCTACAGTGCTGACTGTCCAGGTATCTGTGCCTATCGTCATGGGCGTCAACGTGGGCACTTCCATCACCAGCACCCTGGTCTCAATGGCGCAGTCAGGGGACCGGGATGAGTTCCAGAGGTGAGTCAGGGCTGAAGGGCCAGGCTGGGTCTACCTTGGCCTCGGTAGAGGCTACTCAGACAGACAGCCTGCCCTGTGTGACTGCAGGGCCTTCAGCGGCTCGGCTGTGCATGGCATCTTCAACTGGCTCACAGTGTTGGTATTGCTGCCGCTGGAGAGCGCCACGGCAGCATTAGAGAGGCTGAGTGAACTGGCCCTGGGCGCTGCTAGCCTGCAGCCAGGGGGGCAGGCCCCCGACATCCTCAAGGCACTGACGCAGCCTTTCACACACCTCATCATCCAGGTGAGGACAGATGTGCCATAGGAAGGTGCCTGTGCCTGGCTGATGAGGAACAGGAGGCAGAAGCCCTGTCCTGGATGGCGACAGAAGAGGGTTTAGGCTTGTAATAGGCTGAGGGGTGGGAGTACCCGACACATAATCATGCCCCCTCTGTCTCCCAGCTGGATAGCAGCGTGATTACCGGCAGCGCCACGAGCAACACCACCAACAGCAGCCTCATTAAGCAATGGTGTGGCGTCAAAGGGGAGACGGTGAGGTGCCTCTGACCCCGTCCCTCATTTCACCTCTGACCTGCTGAATCATCCCGCCCACTTGATCTTGAGCCTTTTACCTTCTGTCTGTCTGCCTGCTGTGAGCCCGGCCTGAGTCCTCCCTGTCCCTCAGTCCCAGGAGAGCCATGAGGAATGCAGCATCTTCAACCCCTGCACGGAGATGAACGGTACAGCATCTCCAGAGGAGAACAGAGTGCCTTGTGAGTACCTGCGCCAGTCCTACCCCCTGCCCTGCTTCCTGCTCCGAACTCCTACTCAACTCCCCACCCTGCCACAGGCCGGCACCTGTTTGTGGGCACAGGGCTCACGGATCTGGCTGTGGGCTTCATCCTGCTGGCGGGCTCTCTGCTGGTGCTCTGTACCTGCCTGGTCCTCATCGTTAAGCTGCTCAACTCTGTGCTGCAGGGCCGCATTGCACAGGCCGTGAGAACTGTCATCAATGCAGGTGGGTGTGCGGAGGCCCTGGACCTGGGATGGAGGAGAAGGCAGGAGGTTGGAAATGACCCCCTGCCTTCCACCTTGCACACCTGCAGATTTCCCCTTCCCCTTTGGCTGGCTCAGTGGCTACTTGGCCATCCTTGTCGGTGCAGGCCTAACCTTCCTGCTTCAGAGCAGTAGTGTATTCACAGCAGCTATTGTGCCTCTCATGGGTAAGCCAAAGTGGGCAGTGGGCTTGGGATTGGGGGAGCTGGGCTGGACCCCTTGGTGACCCTTCATTCCTCCAGGGGTTGGGGTGATCAACCTGGAACGGGCCTATCCCCTCTTCCTGGGCTCCAACATTGGCACCACCACCACAGCCCTGCTGGCTGCCCTGGCCAGCCCTCCGGACACGTTGCTCATTGCAGTCCAGGTACTGCCCTCAACCAGTTCCCTGTTCCCAGCACAGCCAAGGCTGGGTGCAGCCCCAGCTCTTCTCAGGCTCCTCAGACTCCAACCACAGGCCTGTAGCCCCAGATCCAGGGGGACATTGCAGGCATCTCACAGCCCTAGCCTCAGTTCTTCCTTTCCAGGATTCCTTTCCTTTGTTTTTTGTTTTTTCAAGACAGGTGGAGTTATTTTGGTTGTTGTTTGGTGTGTGTGTGTGTGTGTGTGTGTGTGTGTGTGTGTGTGTGTGTGTGTGTAGCCCTGGCTGCCCTGGAACTATCTCTGTAGACCAGGCTGGCCTCAAACTCAGAGATCTATCTACCTCTCCCTCCTGAGTGCTGGGGTTAAAGGCATGCGCCACCGCCGCCTGTCAAATGGCGTGGTTTCTAAAGAGCCCAGGTGGCCCATGTCGTCTGGTCCAATCTCCTCACCCCTTCTTGCCCTTCCTGCCTACCAGGTTGCTCTCATCCACTTCTTCTTCAACCTGGCTGGCATACTTCTGTGGTACCTGGTGCCTGTCCTGAGACTACCCATTCCACTGGCCAAGCGCTTTGGGGACCTGACTGCCCAGTACCGCTGGGTAGCCATTGTCTACCTGCTATTCACCTTTCTGCTGCTGCCCCTGGCAGCCTTTGGACTTTCCCTGGCAGGGGGCTCAGTGTTGGCTGCAGTGGGCGGTCCTTTGGTGGGGCTGATGCTCCTTATCATCCTGATTAATGTCCTGCAAAGACGCCGGCCCTCCTGGCTGCCTCACTGTCTTCGATCCTGGGCCTGGCTGCCTCTCTGGCTCCATTCTCTGGAGCCCTGGGACCGCCTGGTGACTGGTTGCTGTCCCTGCAGAGCTTGCAGCAACTCCAATATGACCAGCAAAGTGGCTAACTGCTACGAGAACCCAGAGGTCATAGCTTCCCAGCAGCTGTGAAAAGTGGGTGCCATAGTCCATATACTTAGCTCCACCAGCTTCAGGGCACTGTAGGCTGAAACGACTGCCTGCCAGTCTTCCTTGGGGTGGAGGGGAGGGGCTCCATATGGACTTCCTAGACTCCTGCATGCCCTTCTTTGCAAATAAAGGATGCTATTATCAAGGAGTGTTGACCTTCTCTCCCAAATAAGGCCGCCTTAGGAGGCACCTATCCTAACACTGAGTGGAAGTGGACAAGCAGCGCCATGCTGCCCCTAGTGGAGACTCGGTATTAGGG